TGCTATTCGGTGTGGAAATTTCAAGACTTCAGCGAAAAGAAAAATATTTAAAAAATACAAAAACAACTGCAAAACGGCAAATTATCGGTAATTATGTTTGTAGTTTTTCAATATTTCCCTTTTAGCTAAAGTCTTGAAATTTCTACACCAAATAGCGTTTTTCAATAGCTTCAATTTGATATATAGCCCAACGTTCAGTGTTGAGTATTTCTGCTCATAACTCAGAAAAACTAAAATGCACTGGCTTCAACCCCCCCCCCCCCGTGAGTTAGCCTTCCAGTTTATTTATAGTTCAATGGTGGGAACTACCAACATGGCCGCCATCTATTCAAACGGGGGGTCACCGCTTGGCTTCAATTTTACTAAAAGAGATGCGCTATCTAGTGTATATAAGATATCTATGGTTGTTTACCGTTTACATGGAAAACCCATCCGGTATGAAATTGTGCTAATGGTGAGCAAAATTTCGGATAGAAAATCACATTCGGATTATGTCTATTATGGGCTTTCCATTTAGAGTGACTGACGGAAGGCACTGAAGTATTTAATAATTCCAATTGTTCAATCGAGAAGAGCCTGGAAGTGGTGAAAAAATAAAAAGATGTAAATGGAACAAAATTTACTGGTTGAAACGTTCCAAACGGTAAGAGAGGACAACCTTTTCAAACAAACCGTTGATTCCAGAAAAGTTCGGGTTGGGCAGTCGAAGTATGCTTGTTCCAATTTACTTTCCGTACGGAATCACCGGAATTTCCATGTAAATGGTAAACGACCCTGAATCTTGGCAATTAATTTACGAAGCCCATGGTGAAAACCCCACACTCAGTAGACCTTTCCCCTTTTAAGTGAAATTTTGATCTAGACAAATCTGGACAAAAATTTCATCACAGCTTGAAAGAGCATCGCAAAATTAGTAATATTCCGAAGTTTCGTTGCGAAATGTTGTAAAATGCGGATAATATAGCACTGCGAAGTTTGCCGTTTTTCAGTCATTTTGATTACAAACGGGAAATTGATAATCAGTTTGATCATCCGATTATCAATTTCCCGTTTGTAATACCAAATGACTGAAAAACGGCAAACTTCGCAAGGCTATATATTATCTGCATTTTACAACATTTCGCAACGAAACTTCGGAATATTACTAATTTTGTGATGCTCCTTCAAGCTGTGATGAAATTTTTGTCCAGACTTGTCTAGATCAAAATTTCACTTAAAAGGGGAAAGGTCTATTGATTACATATTTCCAGTTCACTTTTTATACATTTATACTCTGATTCTCCATTGAACATACGAGCCTCTAGTTGTGGACTATAGGGTATATTTTGATTGACGTTGGACAAAGTTACAGTTAGGTCGGACCATAGATATCTTATATACACTAGATAGCGCATCTCCTTTAGTAAATGATTGAAACCAAGAATATTCCAGCGGTTACCTCCATTTGAATAGATGGCGGTCATGTTGGAGTTTCCCACTCGCTAATAAACGCTTAAAAAACAACAATAACTTTCATCATTTGAATAGTTTGAAAATGTATTTGGAATAGGTTTAAGTTAATGTTTAAGTTCCCTGTTTAAGAAATAGAAAACATACCAATCTTCTCATTTGATACCCTGAGCCTGCAATCACGGCTTCAATTTTTGAATTGCAGAATAATTAGATGCACTATCTAGTGTATATAAGATATCTATGGGTCGGACTCACCCGGGTCAGACAAATAAACCCCAGTTTCACTTAGGTCAGACAGAATGACAAATGGATCAGTCAGCATAATATTTTCACACTTTCCTAAAAAGGATGTACTTTGATCAAGAAAGATGTTCTTTGATTAGGGTGTATTCTTAGTAAATTTTTTAAATTTTGCCTACTTCATCCTTAATATTGAACGAGATTCCTCTATGTCTTACAGTAATGTCCCAACTTTACATTATTTTACCTAAAATGGTGTATTGTTTAATTTGTAATTCAAACGATATTGTAGTCTACTCGAATTGTCTTAGAGAATACAGAGTTTGACGGAATTTGGGCATGACCTTTATGCAGTAAGACCATTCCAACCAATATTTAATATTGAATTAGGATTTTGTATACATTTTTGAACCTATTAAACCAGAAACAGTTTCGCAAATATCATGGCATATCAGAAAATATGATTGGCATGCGGGACGCAAATTGGAAATTTTACAACAATGACAATGAGATTTTCGGAAAGTTCTCTTGTCCCTGGAAATTTTTCTAGAAATGGGCCTTCAGCCCTCAGGCAGGCAGAAATGGAATTACCTGTGGTTCTGCGATTCTGCTGAAGCGCTCTGACCAACTGAGCTACAGAGAGACAGTTGTCGAGTTCTAACCACAAGTTCATTGTATAAAACGAAATACTTACCAAATCTTCAACAAGCGTGCAGAAATGCGTGCAAAGATCTTTCATCTTTCGCTTTGCTTAAGAGCGCCTGACATGTTTAATTCAAAACACAAATTATGCAAGTACGGTTTGGCAAACACCGCTGTATTGTTTGCCTTCCAAATTTAATCCAAAACCTTTTCCAAACAACCGAACTATTTTCTGAAACCAGCTATTGTTCATGCTGGAACGTGCTTCGAAAATTTTGGTCAAAAAACTTTAGCACTTTTTTGCTCTTCTTATAAAAGTTGTAAACATATTTACGCTTCTTTATAGTGAATGCTATTGTAACATATTGCTTACAAAACATTGCTTATAGCGCGCTGTAACAAAAACGCTTTGGATTTCCGCATTCTTTGTCTCAAACGCGGGGAGACCCCAAAAGAGGCTCACGAAGACGTGTTGAATTTCAACGTCCGGTTGCAAGTTGAACTATTTTGCATATCACATACACAAGCGAATCGCAGAATTTTTGAGCGTAGTCGAAAGTGGTATTTTAACTTCAACTTGACGATTGATCGTGGTTAATTTGCTTGTGAAAATTCCTCAGAACCAGGTAAGATTATGGGCAGATTGGTGCATTTATAGCATGCGTAAAATTAGCCTTATTTTCATAAAATACATTCGAACCATATTCAATAAATATAGCTCTCGCTTAATTCCGCAACGATATTTGGTTATTTAAGCATCTATATAACGCCCCTCTCCCGTTAAAAGGTTCAGAGCTTTCGAATTTAAGCTAGGGGGTTTTAAAATACCTTTAAATTCCCTCGAATCAACGGAATTTCTAAAGTTTGAAATGTGTATATAATATACATAAGCCCCCCTTGTGTAATATTAAATTAAAATTGCAACATTTGAAATCAGAACAAAATTTAATTGAGCCTGGAAGTGCAAAATCAAATCACATTTAAACCGCTTTTCGCTTCCTTAAACCTTGAAATTTTGGCTTGATTTTGTAGTTTGATAAAATATGTATTTGGTGATCTGTTTTCGTGACAAATTTGATCAATAAAAGGGCTATTTTAATGGTTATTTTACCCGGAAGTGTTAGCAAAAATCGATAATTTGTTTGCGACAAATTAAATTCTGAAAGGAAGGTCACGCAAAGTTGTTTTAAAAACGTCAATCTGATGGCAGAAAAAGCATAATCGTTGCTTCAAACTATTCTGTCGTTTTGGAAGGCTTAATATTTTAGATTGCCTGTCATTTGATATGATTTTTTTGACAAAGAATTTGATTGATTGAGTCTTATATTTCAGTGTGCACTTTATTAATATGTAAATGCGAAAAAATTCCTTCCTATTTCGTCGATTAAATTAACCATAAGCGCTTTTAAAACTACATAGTTTATTGCAAGACACCCAAACACAAACAGTTTCAAGTTTGTACTTGTGTGGAATGATGGAAGGTTTTCGTTTGTCTATTGTGCGAAATTCTTGGAATGCGTCTTGACTGCACATTTCCGACGGGTTAAACCCAAAATGACATCAATAACAGCTGTCGAATTACATGAAAAATAGGCCCATTTTGTGTACAATTATGTATTTCCTCGCTAGCAAATGTTTTTAAAAACTGGAGAGCTTTCATAATTTTTGATGTTCTCTTATTTGGCACCCAAGAGTTTTTTTTATAAATTCCCAGAGAGTCCTTGCCATAAACTTTTGAATATAAGAACTAGTCCTTATATTTGGTTGTCGGCATTTTTTGATGGGCTTTGTGCGGGAGGGCTTATATGCGGGAGGGCTTATATGCGAACGACGTTTGATGAACTATACCGTGAATGAAAAGAAATATAAACATACAGTATATAATCTGTACCATACAACAAACTGGTTAACATATTATAATACTGCATGTAATGTAATTATTGTCAGTCATTTGAGCTGCTGGAATTCCCGTCACTTTGTTAACCTTTTAAATGGCAATGCGCCCAGATGCTCCCTACTTCGTTATTTTACTGTATCTAACGCCAGACAATTTTACTCGTCAGGGGGAGAGTGCTGCCACTCAATGGGTTAATCAGACTATCTGCCTGTGCACCCTGTTAACACTTTAAGTGGCAATGTGCTCAGATGCGCCATACTTTGTTATTTTACTCTGTCTATCTAACGCCTGATGATTTTACTTGTCAGGGGGGTGGGAGGGAGAGTACTGCCACCCCAATGGGTTAATAAGTACAGGTCTGTCCAGTAATAAGCCCATGAGCTAATATACCCAGAGGGGCTTATATTCAGGAGGGGGGGGGCATATATTCAGAATGGCTTGAGCATTAGTGAATATGGTGGGCTTATACACAGTGGGGGGGGGGCTTATACTCAGATGGATTTTTTTGGAAGGCTTTCTTTTTGAGAGGAATTTCACGACGTCTGTGTGAATCGTAAATTGGTTTGTCAGATAGCTTGGTGTATAACCAATCATACATTTGAATGTCATGATGGCCCAACGATAATATACAGCAAGTATCAGTAGTGTAGTAACGTGTGTCATAACGCAGTGTAATAAGTAACACAGTTTGTAGTTCAGCAGGCAACATGGAATCACGATGTATGTAATACACTAAATGTCAAATATTGCTTCAATATTAGGGTGCATCATGGCCGAACAGGCAATTTGCATATATGATTTCAAAGCTGCGGAAGATAACGAGCTCTCGGTCTACAAAAACGAAATCGTGGAAATTGTTAATGCAAGCGAAAATTGGTGGACAGTTCGCAACAAGTATAAGCGGTCTGGGTTGGTTCCAGTGAACTATCTTGCTGCACCTATAACCGACGATAATACTGAGATTGTAGCGAGGGGGAAAACTAAGAAAGCCCACCACGCAAAAAGTGAAAACGAAGTCTCGATTGAGGCAGATAAGCAGGTGGCCATCTTGGACAAGCAGGACAACTACTGGTGGTTTGTTGGGTTTTGTGGCAAAACTGGATATATTCCAAAACGCATTGTACAAGAATTTAAGGTAATGTATAATTTGAAATTTGCCTTCTGAATGACAGCTGTTGGTTTGACACACTTGTTACAAGTTGTTCCAACGACTTGTTATCGTTCTGCAATTCAACAATTTGTTAATAAGTTGTGAGTGACAACCTTGTGGCAACTTGATAAAATAACAGCATTGTTACAACGTGTTGACAAGTTTGCTACAAGCCGGTTGCGAACACATCTTATTGACAAGTTGTGAGATTTTTATGTGTAGCCAGCCATGTACACACTTAAAAGTGCACAAGTTGTTACAGGTCTCCAAACAAGTTTTTACAAATCTGTTCACAAGCTGTCGACAAGTTGTGTTCGCACTGCTTGTTCCCAGTTGTTGTAACAAGTTTGGAACAACTTGTAACAAGCTTGATGGCATTATCAGACTTGTTACAAGGTTGTTCTAACAT